AGTATTTCTTGGGTCCGAGTCTTAGTGGGAACAATATCACCCACTGGAAGGAAGGTATATCTACCTGACGAGTCCCAAATAAGACGAAAAACATTTCCTGGATTCCACTACTAGCCACTGTCCATAGTTAGTACTTGACTTTGAAGCTCAGCTGAAGATGACTTCTTAAATTGCTGTTTCATTGGGAAAAATCCCTGCTAATTAATTGTCATCAAACTTTAAAGTGCTACTCTAGGTATAGTTCACAAAATGTATATTGAATGATGTGGTTACCTTAAACACTCTTAACTATCCCATCCATTCAAAGTTATACCATCTGAGAACCGATTATTTGTTTTTTGTGGTTGAGACAATATGTTTTTATTGCTTACATGTAGCTAAACACGAAGCAAACTGCTGTCTAGTTAAATGTCTGAATTCATAAAACAGCATACATATTCAGAAGTCATATTTCCTTAAGAGTTTTGTCATAATACACCAGAGTGAGACAAATTAAACGGTTCTTTGTCATCTTTGTCATGAGGGGACAAAGTAAGGTGTACAGGAGTTATCGAGAAGGAGAAAATTTATATTCACTGTCTTGATCCACTCATTAACTTTAGTTTCTACAGAGGAAATAAAACATCAGCAATAAGCAGGGAAACACAAAAATCCCAGTGATGATAACTTCATTATATTTTTTCGATTCACGAAAGCATCATATGAAAATAAGATACAAAATTCGGCAGGGAATAATTACTACCAAATAGTTTCCTACTCCCTCTCTTTCTAATGCTAGGTAAAATGGAGTTGGAGTTACTGAAGTTCCCTTTATCCCATTGTTAATTAAATCTTTTAAAACGACAGAACTTTATAAATCATGACGTTTGGTTGTATCCAATCACAAGCGTCCAATAAACTGATAACGGAAAATCTTAAGTGGTCATGTTTTGAGCTTACTTCCCACAGCAAAACAGCTTCAAAAAACAGATTGTTTTTTGACGGGGCTGAACTCCAGTTTTAAATTATTCATTACCCAATGAAAGTATTGAAACTATGATCTATATCTGAACGATGGAATCATAAGGAAAAGCCCATAAGAAATATCCGTTATGAAATAATGAGAAATATTTGTAGCTCAGGTGGATGGTCTTGGTTGTATTGCGTTTTCTGAGCTGGGTTGATTTACCGTGAAGCTTTCATCGTCTTGCTAGACGATGAAAGCTTCACGGTAAATCAACCCAGCTCAGAAAACGCAATACAACCAGAAAATATCCATTATTTATGAGCGGGACTGTGTAGCCAATTGGTCAAAGTTGATGCTCCCTTCCATATTAAACTCCAGTGGAGTACTACAAATTATTTCAATTTTTCATGTTTATAGACACTATCTACTCTGTGTAAAAATACGATAGTTGTCTAAACAAATGTGTACCAAAGGTGTCTGCCTATATGTTACTGAAATTAATTATATAAAGTTAAGGATTTTATCCTTAATAAATTGAAGTTCGTTTATTCTCATGAACTGTTGATTACCTTTTTCATTCCCATATCGGTTACAGATTAGAATGTTCAAATGTCAGTAAGATGCTCATTCAGGTATACAAATTAAGGGAAATAAACAGTGGAAACTCTTTGTTGTTGTTCTTATCATATCAGTCATACTGTGGTATTAATAGTAATAATGATAAACTTTCAGAGGTGTCTTCAGTGCACTTAATACCTTTGAAACTGTCTAACGGTTTCGATGACTGTATGATACCATTATTTGTTTGAATGTCACTTAACATTTCCATGAAGTCCACATCCATAAAGGAGCTCAAAAAATTCTGATCAGTCAAACTTGTGTCACCAGTGACTTTTGATGCAGAGATTCTTGGAGATATGTGCAAGCTACTTTGGGGTGTGCTTGCACAAACGGCACATTTGAGGCTATATTTGCCTTTCGAAAACTGCTATATCTCTACATATAAACTACCACTTAATTTTGGCTGCAATTTTTTAATTATTTTCTTCAAAAATATGTTGGTCTATATTTTCTGCTGAAGATGAAAGATGAATAGCTCAGGATGAGGATGAAGCCAGTTTGATATTTTGCTGTGAACATTAAGTCGCCACACTTGGTGTTGATGATGTCACCAAGTTTGATGACAAAATATCCGTGACAAAATATCTCAACTCAAAGGAGACCATCTCCATTTGTTGCCTGAAGTTATACAAATGTGATCTGGATAGAAAAGCTGTTTTCACCTATTTACAAACTAATTGTTCACCAGGGCCCAATGCAGTCTTACTGCTAGAAAAAAACACCAGATAAATACACCTCAAGTAAAGCAGTGACACAGAAGATGAATTGACAGGAATTTATTCAGTCTACAAGGGCGAATTACTTAATGAGTAAAATAACATTTTTGTATGAATGATTACTGGAAACGACCTGCTATGCTTTAAGAACATTTCTATGAAACTTCCCTGTACATTAATCAGTTATTTTATGGACATAGAGTTAGAACACTTCAAGACTAAAACACGTGAAACCAGTTGCTCTCTAGTGACCAATCATTGTATCTAATCCAGGCCTAAAGGAAGACAGTCACGTGCTAGATAGTTCGGTAGTAACATTAACTAAACCAGTGAATAAGGTGGGTTCGAATCCCGTGGGGGAAATCAGTTCGCTTGAGGTTGCAGATTCGCCTTGCTGACGAGTGTCAACAAGCACGAAACCTAGGTGGAGGGCTTCATGACGATTGCCTCCAACCAACTAATGTCTTAGTAACTCCTTTTCAATACCAGACTACCTTAAAAAGCAGGTCTCATTATACCAAGTTGTTTCCCATTATACATATAAGTTAATACCAAAGATAAAGGTGATCTCATATAGAAACTGACTGCGAAACAATGCTGTATATCAGGGATAAATACGGTATAATTGGAATCTTGCTTGGTATTATTGCACACAGTTTTTATGTGTTCAGTTGCACCTTACAATATTCGTTAAACAAACTCACCGGTTCATCAGCTGAACTTCAATGTGCAAAAGATGGAGCCGTGTTCAGAAACAATAGTATTGTAAGTAGTCATACAAACAGATGTAAACATTTAAAAGTATAATTAATCCTGTCGCTTTTTATAAACTGATTACAAGTAGATCTGTCTAGCGGATTACAATCATGATAGTTATCATAAATAAACTGTCGTGTGGATCCATTTAAACACTATTCGTTTGTTGATGACTAGTAGTATTAAGCGATATTAATGTTCCCTTCGACTCTGGATTCACTTGACAGATGGGCTTTCAGTGTTGTAAGTGAATGGCAGTGTTGTCACTGGAAACTGAACTCTATACACTGGATTAAGTAGAAGAAATTCGTCCAATATATAGAATAGCAAGAAATAGTGAATCTCATTCGGGTTCTTATATTTCAAGTCATATTGTAGCAGATTTCTAACTCAATGAAATGGCTGATTCAAGTATAATGTTTCCACTGTTATTTCGGATATCTTCTCAATACCATTTTCAAAGTGACAACAGTTAGACAGTTTGATACGGTCAGTAGACAGTAGATGTCTTCAGACAGGATTATGAGTCAATGGGGTATTTATTTTCATCAATACAGGTGTAAAAAATGAGCACTTTGATAGAATGTAATTTCATACCAAATATTTTATTCCATTTAGCACACAGAAATACAGTATAACTTGCTTGATAACACTCTGAGCATAAGTTATGGCTCATAATCTTTCGAGTATTTAGTTTCATTTTACCGAAATTATATCCTTCCACAATTAAAATGATGATTAGCTTTAAGTATCTTAAGACCTAAAAAGAAATAGTTATTAGTTCATACAGAGTCTTAGCATAGCTCAAAATCTTCTACTGAACAATTCTGATCACCATCATTATTATCAGTATAGTTGTAACAATGAAATTCAATTCCAAATCATAAAACGATAAATAATTAATTTATCAAATTGGAGATGAAACAAAAATGCATATTCATGATTACAAGTTTTCAGATTTTCTTAACACTCCTTTATCATCTTGAATGATTACAGGTTTCAAGATATTTAAACATGAAAATTAAAACGTATGGTTGAAATGGTTTCACCACTTGAACATATTTCAAAGATATACATGTGCAGTACATGTAACACTGGATGAAATATTCACCATTTTTAATCTTCATCTATCAAGATTCATTTGTGTTCATAAAGATAGACTAAATACATATAGTTTGCACAATACATTTGATTTAATTAACCATATTTTGTCCAATTTAGAAGAAAAAAAGAAAGAAATCACTATTTGAACAGAGTGAAGAAAACATATATAACTTGACATGATGAATGTATTGAGACGTATAACCTTCTCCTATTACACATGAAATTGAATGAAACTTAACTAGGATGAAGTGAAAATGAACAATTTGTTCAGGCAATGTTAATGGTTTTGTTTAAAATGATAGTAGGAAATATTGGCAGCATGATCAAAATGCGCAGAAAAAAATAATAACAAATGTATAAAATGACCGTTATCTTATGCAATAAAACTATTCATTTTTGTTTGTTTGCGACTTCTTATACTTCACATTATCAAGACAATTCGATTAAGAAATACAGAAACAATGAATAAAACTCACCAAGTAGACCATTTTTTTCGTGTCAGCATTAGGAAAAGGTATTTAATAGTTAAGTATGATAGATAATAAACAAATCTAAGTGTTTGTTGAATTAAAACATAAAAGTATGATTATTTGATGCTAAGTATCGAATTATAGCTTACAATCAGTATTTCAATGCTTTTATTCTGGTATTCTAAAGTTGTGATTTATCTGAAATTTAAAGGATTTTCAATTTATCTATTTGTGAGCAAAACACAGAATGAAGTAGAAGGAAGAAAACTGATATTAACCTTGAAATGAACCAATGTTTTTTGTCACAGTGGAAAGTAATCAATACTATTGATCATTGAACATTACTTAGGATGAAGTTTATAAGTATTAAATGGTTTTCATTGTAGGTTAAATTAAATCTTCCTCAGCTGACTCTGCTTTTTGACTAGTTGCATAAAAACGTGGACTAGCTAGTTGAGGTTGTCCTTCTCGTGGTGGTGGTGGGGGTGGAGGTTCTGACACCCGCTTAGTTTCTTCACGTTCTGTTGTGTTTTGTGATTTATCATACCTAGGAGATGAATTTCCATTGTTTCCACCAAAGTTTTGATGAAATAAACTCAGTAAATCAATTGGTAGTGGGAAAATGATAGTAGAATTCTTTTCATCTGAGATACTACTTAAAGTTTGTAGATAACGCAGTTGAAGAGCAATTGGACATTCACCAATTTCCATTGCAGCAGCCTTTAGAGCTACTGATGCACGTTGTTCACCTTCAGCAGCAATCACTTTAGCTTTCGCTTCTCGTGCAGCTTCTGCTTCGGCAGCCATAGCACGTTGAAGTTGAATGGGTAGACGAACATCTTTTATATCCACACGTTCAACTTTGACTCCCCATGTTTCTGTAGCTGTATCTAGACAGTCCTGCATTAAATGTGCAATCTGCTCACGTGCTGTTAAAAGTTGATACAAATCCACTGTACCAAGTACATTTCTTAAAGTTGTCTGTGCAAGTAGTCGTGTAGATCGATTAGCATCCTCCACATTCACAACTGACATAACAGGATCGAAAATACGATAATAAACAACAGCGTCTACAGCAACAGTGACGGAATCTTTTGTTAAAACCTCCTGGGTTGGTACATTAAAAGTAAACGTACGAAGATCAATTGTTTTAACATTGTCTAAGCATGGTAATATGAACACAAGTCCAGGTCCCTTAGGAATTTCTGATACTAAACGTCCAAGACGAAATACAACAGCTCTTTCATACTGTGCAATAACTTTGAGACACATAAAGAGAGAGAACGGTAAGGTTAATAAAGCAGCCAGATATGCCAATAGTTGCATAGCAGCTTCACAGCCGAACATCCCTTTGTTTCCTTGTCGCTTATAACTTCCTCGCTTTCCCAAACGTTCAGGTACAAGCGAAAACCCTCGTGCCAGGGACGGCATTGAGGCTGGAACACGTAGTTGTGATGTTTCATTTGAATGATCTGCATTATTTCCTGACCTCTGAGAATCATTACATACATGATAGCCCGTTGGAACAGGTGGTTTACGAGCAGCAGTGTCCACTCCTCCAGCATTTGTATTAAGTGTATCTGAAGCAAATGAAACTGATGGCATATTATGCAATGGCAATGTGTTTCTTTCAAAATTATTATCGATGACTACGAATTTATGTATAGCGGAAATCCATTACAACAGAAAATTTGTCAGATTTTTCAACGTCGTTTACTTCATATTGAAATATAAAAATGATTGAGAGATTTCTCCCACCATGTTTAGGTAGTGGGATGTTTCCCTACAATACTCATGTGTGCCTACCACGCTCCTTATAACCTTCAAACACTTTCCAGTAGCTTTAAATCTATCCTATTGATTTATTAATTGTTAACTGTGGCTACCAATCACGTAGTTGGGATTAATGCTAGACTTGAACTGACTGTCTTCACATGTCTGTACAGCGATCACAGTAAAATCATCTAGACAGAAACCAATAAAAGTCTTGGATTACATTCTTTTAGCATATCGAAGCTAAATGAGGAAGAGTACGAGAGAATGTTCATACTTTGTTATATGCGGAGGATTATATTTAAAATATACATTGGTTAGAAGTATATGATTCTAGGAAGTTAGGTATTAGTCTTTTTACCAACCATGAGCTTCTTATCTTTTACTTTCCAAAGTATTTATCTGTTTGCTGACAAAAAACATCTTTCCCATCGATGAAAACTGAATGATTGATGCTATGATTTCTACAAAGTTTATCCTGTTTAATACGGAGAGCAAGAAACGTTCACATGACGCTTGACACCCTAAGAGCGACATCATTGTCAAGTAGGCTCATTATAAATATGCAGGCTGATTTGAACGAATAACGATGGTCACGTGATACGAAGCTGGATAATCCACTCTGGCTAAATTGTTTATGATGAGAGGGGTAACGGAGAAAGTGCAAGAGAGAACAGTTGTAAGAGTGTATAGTATTTAGGGCATACTAATTCACCTACCATTACTAAAGAATGTACAAAGTTCCCATACACTACAGATCTAGTTAGACTGTGTACCGGTAGACTTTTCAACTTATCGTACGTAACGAAACGTATAAATCGGATAAGCATCATAATCGCTGCCCTCAGTATGAGAGTCAAAAGCTGTAGTGAAAATAGTTCAGAAGTTCAAAAGGTTGATTATGTGAGGTTTATTTTGTGTTTTTCAAGACGTAACACTACTACTTCTAGCATTCCAAATTTGACAGGAGAGATTGACATTGTTTGTTATACTGTCTGCATCAGCCACGTGAACAGCTGTTTTGAAACGACTGGACTAATGTCTGACAAATACTGAGTATTAAAGAAGAGTACCTAATTATCTTGTATGAGGGCTGGGATACTACTACCCCGGTGCCCAGACTAAAGCAAGTGTCCGTAAGTATGCTATGTGCTTTGCATCTTTGAAGTAAAAAAGTACTTTTGCAAGATTGGTGGGAGGCTGTGTCTGCACTCACCCTCTGTAGTGAGTCGTTGGAAGTAGTCGAAAAGTTCGTGTATCTAGGTAGTTGTGTGAGTGGTGAAATTTCCAACTGCATATCGAAAGCCAGAGTGGTGCACGTCAATTTGGACCACCTTTATCATGATCACGACGTTAGTCTGACCATAAGAGGTTGGGTTTGAAGGCTTTGGTGCAATTAGTTCTGCTTTACAACTGTGAAACCTGACCTCTTCGAGCTGAGGATGTGCCACGACTCTGTGTGCTCGATCATCACCGTCTTCGTAGGACTGCTCGTATCCTGTAGCAACACGATGTAAGTGATTCTGAGGTTCGATAGCATGTATTTGGGCATGATGGAAACTGTCATCCAATAAATGGAGTCATCTAGAAACACCGGCTTCGGTGGCCGGGACATGTGTTACACATGTCGTCCAACAGCTTCCACACTGCTGATTGTTTGCTAGCCCTGGAACTGGATGAAAGAAGCGAAGGGGTAGTTAGTGTATGACGTGGCGCGACTCCTTGGGTGAGGTTCGAGAGATCTTGCAACTCAGTGGCTTGATACACTATCGAATACGGCTGAGAATGGAAACCATTGGTGGTTATGCTGTAGCTTCCTCTTATCTTCTGGTTCTGTAAAGTGATGGATATATTGTTTCGAATATATCTTACTGAACTACCTTTCCACTCATGCTATTCTGATTGTTTTTCTTTCTCACATGTCCACTTCCCATCGTTTGTGTCTTCACAGTGCTGTTATACCATTTTATCTGGCGCACTTCTTGGTTCCTCTGCTTTACCATATTTTTCTTCTTCTTCTTCTACTACTACTACCACTACTACCAATAATAACAACAACCTCGCTGAATATTTACATGATCATTATGCGTCAAGTATTAAATGGACTTTTATATAGCAGTAAATGCTACGGTTTTAGTCTCTCATGTTATAACTATTGACTTGTATCAGAGATGTCTTCGATTTTTCGTAAAGCTATTAGCTTTCATTAGCTGAAATGTTTTCAAGTAGTAACGGAAACTATCAGCCAAAGCCACTTCCCCATGAAATATTGAACGTGGTAAGAATGCGAACAGAAGATGAACTATGCTGATTTCCCGGAGTCAGGTATGGAATGCCCTGTGACTGAGTTACTGAGAACTGTGGTTGGGATACTTACATCGTTTAGGATATAACTAACTTGTATATTGTAATTTGCATGATGATGGTAGACAGAGGATACAGAATGTTTGCTGCATCGTATTTGGGGTACAATTGCACCCCAGTGAATGATATTGTTCCCATTGAGACTCTAACCTAGCACCAGTAATCTTAAACCCTGGTTAACTTTCATTCTTTTGAATCCAAGTTGCAAGAAATACTTTTTCTGCCGTCACTACCCTCTCCTTGTCATCTTTCACCTTGGCAGCGATTATCATGATATTCAATACTGGAAGAAGTGAGAGTTAAACAGGAAGGTTTTGTAAAATATTAGCATGAAGGTGATTAGAAGTTACTGATATATAAACGAGTAGGTTGTTGAAATTTTTTACACATAAGAGTGTATTGAATTTCGCCTTAAATTGATACTTCTGAAGAAAAACAAGTTTAGGAAAATGATGAAGGTTAAAAGTGTTTGTTTTTAATTGTCAACGACATCTGTATCAAAAATGTAAACTGGTTGTAGGTAATCATAGGAAAAGTTATTCATAAAAGACTACCAGATGGTGAAAGAAGCTTAAAATACAGAATACTGAAATCTTTCAATGAAATGATAAGAAGGAACAATATGAGCCTCATGGCATTAGTTTCTATGTCCCTGATACTTATTCATATGATGGTCCTGTTCCATTGACATGTAGTTACCTCTCTCAGGTCCTGTTAGTTTGAAAAAATCTATACAACAACAGTCATTTTTATCCTTGTAACAAGGTAACAAGGTAACCGTAATATATGCTATTCTGCTGTTAATCGAATTTTAGGTCTGAGTTCTTTCATGGAAGGTTACGTCTGTTTGTTTGTAAGTCAAGCTTTTTGGATTACACTACTTAGTTCTTTTTTGCAAATTGTTTTGATTCAGTGTTTTATCCTAATACTACTACACATTTTAACCATAAATATAGTAGTAGACAGCGATATGTGCATGTATATATCGTAATAGGAGAACAAGGCTCAGCTGGATAGGATTATGAACAGTGTAAATATATATATATATTAGTAGGTTTTGCTGTAGAAGATAAACTTTTCACTCACAATCATGATAACATTTTCATCAGAAACACCACGTCAAAGTGAAGCTTTTGAATTTTTCACAAGTGATCACTTAAAGTCCTTATAGTTCTGTAGTGCATTGGCTATTCTTCTTACTTTCGCTACGACTATTGGTGGATTATTGCTGTTGGATAGAAGACATTTTTTCTTTCTTTTGCTGACTTCATGTTCATGACTTTTACTATTGGTCACCCTGTGTGTGTGTGTGTGTGTGTGCATAACTGCTTACCATTTTCAAGTGGGGTACCATGCCTTGAACATCGTACCTAAACCTTTCTGAATGCAGTGCTACCCTCCTTCGACATTTAAAAAATATCTTTTTGTTATCTGTAAACGTTGTTGAAGATGTTAATTAAACTGTCAAATATGATAATTTTCTTAGTCAATGCAGCCGGTTAAGGAAACGTCTTCAATCTCATTCTGCTGATTGCTTGTCTTAGAGATAGACGTTTCCAGCAAGCTATTAAATAATCTTCGGCCTTTAAGTCAGCCTTCCTACCTGACCCCCTTTTTATTTTCTCACCCCTTATCTTCATGAGTTTTTATATAAATACCTATGTCAAGTACGTGTGTGATCAGATAGTTCGAAATGTCTTGCGCAAATACATTACACGGTTCAGACAATTTACGTCTTCTTATTGTTTTGTCGAAGTTTATCAAGCGAACTAATTGTTTTAAATTAAATAATCTGTTTAGAATGAAATTGCACAGTTAATGAGCTCTTTGAGTTCTACGTCATTACATGAAGATCACTAATGAATTTGTCAACAGTTGAGCTTGAATCTGCTAGCAAGTGGTTAACTTATGTTGTTAGCTCAGTTACAGGTTATAGTAATAGTTTTTGGAATATTTTCATATATTTGCCTCATTTTATGAGTTATAGAATAAGTTGTGACTACTTGAGTATTTTTAATTACGAATGGATTTTCGACTTACTTCCATGGAAATGGGATGAAATGACCTTTTAAATTAATCTGTAATATAATTTGATTGGCTAATGTATCTTCATGCGAGCTGACAAACCCTAAATGGGACGAAATGTACGTCCTGGATTCCACTGTTGGTTTCCAGCGGCCAGTATACATCAGATGAAGTCCTAATGCAATATAGAAACCACCAAACAGTAGCATCGAGATCAGCCAACTCGATTCGGTACAATAGACAATGTGAAATTACGAGTATCACTAAAAATAACGTGAGAGATGCCAATAGTCCTTTCAACATTATAGTCTATCACATTTGATCAATAGACAAGTCTATGCAATTTTGCAATGAACTGTTTCGTCTTTCGACAATATCAAATTCCATTGTAGTTTGCTATTCTTCTAGAAACTTATACATAACATTAATCATTGTTGATATAAAGAAAGTGACAATCGATGACTCATTCACTACTACTACTGTCGATAATAACAATACTACTACTTATAATGAATGTAGTAGCACTAATTGTGCTAATGGCAGTGGAATTCCTATCTCCCTTTACACGAAAATTCGATGCCATTTGAAAGAAAGGGTACACTTTATTGATTGCACATCAGTAACGTTGAGATAAAAGGTAAAATGTCTGTCAAATGTTATCGTTAACACCATGAATCAGATATAAATTATTACTAGGTAAACAGGTGTAGGCAGAAGTTTATAGATTATCGCATATTTCCATTTACTTGTGGACGCCAAATTGAAAGAGATAAATATAACTAGTTACTTGGAAACAATCGACAGCAAGCCCTGTACCCAGGTTTCGTACCAACAGAAGGTCAGGGAACTGGTTGCTCTCCCGTGACCAATTTGTGTACTTCATCCAGTCGTACAGAGGGTCAACCGTGGCCCGAATAACTCAGTGATAACGTCACTGACTACAGCACTGGGTGACGCGAATTCCAATCTCAGGCGCGACATAAGTTTTATCGAGTTTGCACATATGCCTAACTGAACAGTGTTAACAAGTAGTAGACTTAGTTAGACAGCTTCGTGTCTATGCTTGTAAAAGAATGATGGACTATTACGCAACCGAGCTCACTCACTAAGAAGGTTAGGAATAAACTGACATCAGTGAATCAAAATCACAACGGGAACAAGTGAAATAAAGCAGAAATCGTCCAGCAAAGTCAAAAAAGAGTTACCAGGGTAATCCAAGATAAATAACACAGAAGCCAGGTCGTAGTTACCTAATTGCCACTACTTCTGAGAAACAAGCTAAACTGGCTTATATGTTGATCCAAATAGTGTTGACTTCAGCTGAATGTTCTATAGCCATCAGTAGTCTTGTGACTGCATCAGTGGGAACTTTCTTTCTTTGCTTAGATTTGTTAGATTTGTAACTATAAACAGAGATTACTATTTATTGACATACTTATTATTCTCCGCTGTTTTGTTGGATCGAATTGTTCGACCTCTATTAGCATCCGCATAATAAGTATGTCAATAAATAGTAATAACTACTACTGGTTGTACAAGACGTGTCTGTCACTCCTCCGTAGCATGGTGGATAACGCTTCGACTTTTGAAGAGATGTGTAGGAGGTTCGAGTCTCAGTGGGAACAACATCACTTTGCACTAGGGTGCAGGTACGTCGAGCTGACGGGTCCCAAATACGACGAAATGGGCATTCTGGATTGTCTCGCAAGCCACAACCAACCAAACTATTAAAAATGGATATGATCGGAATACATATTAACTTTGGATAGATATAATGAACAGCTTGTGGGTTATAATGATATCAAGATAGCTGCAAGAAACATCTATTTCAGTACTGCTTCTATTCTTATCACGATTCTTGCTAAGAAACAATTCAGAGTAACGTGAATGAAGATTATTTGCTTTCAGCAGTCTTAGGTTAGGATTTTACAGTCTCCAGTTTTGCATATTTCATTATAGACTTCATGTAGTATCCACTTTTCTTCGGATTATTTTTAATGATAGTGGATTCTTTCTGAGGTTTGTCTTCTAAACAAGATAGGCAGTCTTGCTCTTGTGAAAACCATCGATTTATTTTAGAAAAATTATTCTTGATTAACCAAGGATTCACGCACCAACAAAATAGACTGTTAAGATAAGATGAGAAATCTTATGGCCTTCATTATTATTTGTAATTCTGCTGTTGTTAAACCGGATTCGGTTGATCTGCTAGTATATGGGCTGCAGTACGGATGCCTTGGTAGTGCCTGAATATTTGTTGTTATAATTGGCTCAGTAATGGTTAGCAGTGCAGTCCAGGACAAGCGTTTCATCCTGTTTGGGAGGCGTCACATAGATGTACTTGCACCCTAGTGAGTGATATTGTCCCCTCTGACTGAGACTTGAACTCTGTGTCCACCACTTCAAAATCTAATACTGACTGAACTAGAAGTGGCTATCGTGCTTCACTGACCTAGTGATAAACACTTAAGGGTTAAGCTCATGGAATAAACCAAAGAGTAATGTAATGGATTTCGGTCTATTAGCGTAATCCGTGTCACCTTCTGTAGTCCTGAGTTCTCAGTAAATAGTCATCTAAGCCCGCTTAGGTACAAACTTATCGAAACACATTACTTACAGCAACCGTATATTGTTTTCACTATTATATTGCTAAACGGTATAGGCAAAAACTATTTATCATCGTTTCGTGCTTGGTTTCCCCGGAACATGTTATACTAACAACCTACTCAGCTAGTTATGAGCCACATCATGAAATATAAGGGTCCCTAATTAGTTTAAACTGACTCTAACTTTCTTTACTAATGAAAAAAGTTCGTCAGTATGTAGATACATACCAACCAGCGTTCATTTTAGATGTTTTGGATATGCATGAAAGGTTCTTGAGTCTCTGAAACTTCATCTGAGTACTTTTCTCTACAGTCGCATATTTAATTGCTGCTACGCTTCGTACTTACGGTTGCGATGCTTGGATATTATGGAAACTACCTCACTGAATTGGCATTTCTATCAATATGTTGAGTATATCTGTGTGAATGACAAGTAATTATTTAGGTCTGTAAATCATTTTAAGGAATGTTTTATCTAAAACAAATAAAATCGAAGTTTCAGAGATGGGGCAGACAAAGCATGATCTATTCGTTCTTTTAAGTGAAACAAAGTAATGTGAATTTGTACTATAGTTGAAAGTATATGAACAGAAGCGAGAAATTACAATTTAGTTTACTGATAATGAACCTCGTCTGGTTAACCAGTTCATTAGTTACTAGCCGGTCCTAAGCCCCGGTAAAGAGGGAAGGTTGGGCATAGGGCTAGCAACCCTACCCCGTAAAACAAATCTAACCGCTAAAGAAACTTCAAAGCACAAACAAAATATAAAAAATGAAAACAAAATTATTCCTCCCTGGAATCGGAGAGGCGAAATGACGCCAGTTGGTGAAAGCCTTCGGGAAGCCGATTGGCCAATGTATCTTCTCTCCCTCGATGAAAGCGAAAGTAAACATGAGGATATGGAATGTCCGCACCAAGTTTGAAGCTACCGAGGCTGCTCAGATTGCAAACGAGATGAGAAGGTATCACATTGAAGTGCTTGGGATTTGCGAAAGCAGATGGAATGGGAGAGGAGTCTCCAAACTGTCAACTGAAGAATCAATAATCTATTCCGATATTGTTACCCAGACGACAACCACGAGTACACTGAGTGTTGGAGTGGCTATCATGATGTCCCCAACAGCATCGGAGACTCTCATGCAGTGGGAACCAATCTCCTCCAGCATCAGGATCATGACAGCAAGGTTCAACTCAAAAGGAAGGAAGGTCACAATCATACAATGTTATGCACCTACAAATAATGCAGATGAAGAGAAAAAGGAGGAAATCTACAGACAACTGCAATCAACACTGGACAAGACGTCAGTTGGTGATGTCAAAATTCTAATGGGCGGCATGAACGCCAAACTGGGAGGGGACAACACATGAAGAGAACTAACCATGGACAGAGAAGTGCTCGGTGAGGTGATGAGCGAGAATGGAGAATTGTTTGCAGAATTCTGTGCATTCAACGATTTGGTGATTGGAGGCAGTGTGTTCAGGCACAAAGATATCCACAAAGCGACATGGATTTCACCAGACACCAGGACACACTAAAAATCAAATCGACTTTATCTCAATCTCAAGAAAATGGAGACGCAGTCTACTTAACACAAGGTCAAGAAGAGGAGCAAATGTAGGTTCACACCACCCACTATCTAGTGCAAGGAACCTTCCAAATCAAGTTAAAGGCCTTCAAGGAAGCTGGTGATAGACCTCAATTCAAGTACAACACTCGGAAACTGAAGGATGAAATTACAAAGGAGATCTTCACGGCAGCCATCAAGACAAAATGGGAGATATCGAGCAACATCCCTGAAGAAACCTGTGTGGAAGAACACTGGAAGTCTTTGAAAGCTATGTGGAAAGAAACCTGCACAGCCGTATTAGGAAGGAAGAAGAAAGAAGATAAATAATGGAGTGGATCTCAATGGATACATGGAGGCTGATTGAGCAGGGAGAGGAGGGTGGTGAAGCAGAAGATAAACCAGTGCAAGCATGCACAACGACATGAGGAAATGAGTACAATGTATAAAACACTGGACAAAGAAGTGAAGAAGAGTGCACGGAAAGACAAAAGACACTTCCACGACACACTAGCAAGTGTAGCAGAACAGACTGCAGGTAGGAGAGACCTGACAACATTGTATCAAATAACCAGGTTACTATCTGGGAGGGAAGAGATCAACGCAGACGAAACCAATAAAAGATGTTGACGGAAATTTAATTACGAAAGAAGAGAAACAGAGGAAACAATGGGCCGACCACTTCAAAAAGATCTTGGATCGACCACCACCACCACCTGCACTTCTTTCAGAAATACCACCTGCAGCCCAGCCGCTGAACTACAAGTGAACAAAAATCCTCCAACAAAAATGGAAGTCCTGAACGCCATAAAGCTACTGGAATGCTGGAAAGCAGCAGGACCAGATGGGACCCCACCAGAAGCACTGAGAACAGACGCTGAGACAACAGTGGACATGCTCACACCACTTCTATTGCAGAAGGTGTGGAAGGAAGAGAAGATACCTGCCTATTGATTGGAAGAAGGGTTGCCTTGTCAAACTGCCGAAGAAGGGAGACTTCAGTGTTTGCAAGAACTGGCGAGGAATCACTCTCCTGTCCGCTGAATGCAAGCAAAATATTAAGCCGCATCATCCTGAAGAGGCTAAAGGATGCGCTAGATTCAAAACTGCGACCGGAACAGGCAGGCTTCAGGAAGTACAAACCATGTGCAGACCGAATTGCAACGCCACCCTACGCATCATCATAAAACAGAGTATAGAATGGCAGTCAACTCAACCCAACCTCAACTTCATCGACTTCGAAAAGGCCTCTGACAGCATCAACCGAGAGGTAATTTGGAAACTGCTTCAATACTACGCAATACCACAAACCTTCATCAGCCTCATTCAACAACTATATGAAGACGCCACATGCCAGCCAAGTAATTCACAGCACAATGGGAAGCTCAGTGGTGCCTTCGAAGTGAAGTGAAGACAGGAAGGAGTGAAAAAAGGCTGTCTACTATCCCCCATGATATTCCTG